TTTTAATCAAAATTATATATTGACTCTTTAGCATTACACCTTTTACAATTTGTCAAAGATATGAGCTTTATGTCAAAGACATTGTGTTCATACATACAACTAAATAGCTTTTGCATTAATCTCATGCAGTTAAATTAAAATGTATCATATTAACACATATACGTGATCAGAACAGTGTTCATTTCTTTGTAAATACTATGCTTTAAGAAAATTTTCTGACCTTTGGCTTTTTAAAAAAATATTTTACTCATCACATTACTTAATTTTTTTTCATTAAATACTCTGACCTTATCCACCTTTGAAATTTCCATCCAAGCAGAGTCCACATTTCCAGCATTACTTTGGCATTGCTAACTTCCTGTAAGGAAGCTGAAACGGACAGATTCACATTCAGACAAAACAGATCCAAAGTGGAGAACAGATTTAGTTCATTTCATTGTATTTTGCACAACAGGAAAGTGTTTTTCAAGATGTCTGCCGTTTGGCAAGACTGGCTTGGACTACAAGTTCCATATGGCACTCGGTCGTTTCTATAGAAACGGGTTGTTGTCTCATTACTGGAAGCTGTGCCACCGTGACGTGTAGTAGCTGTATAATATACCTTACACTCTGGGTAAGTGAAATATCCACATAAATGATTAAAACTGATCAGTATGGTTAGAAATAGCGTTTATGGCTCAAATGTGCTGCTTAGCATACTTAGCATGACTTGACAGATCATGACACGTTTATGGTGCTTTTACAGAGGCTTTCATTCATTATCTGCAGCAGTGAGTGTGTGTTATTCACTCATATCACAAACTTTTTGTTCGTGCTGTTTGTGTTCATGATCGTGCTGTGTTTAAAGACGTTCTTGTTAAACGCAGTACTTCACCGTAACATCATCTCCCCCTGCTGGCGGGTGACTATGTATGCAGCTCCAGTGGATTTATCTTTTAAAAACATCAGCAGTTTAACAGGTAATTCGCTATATCGCTCTTTATGTAGGATCTTAAGGGCTGCAAGAGGTCATTTACAATAAATAAGTAAATTATTAGTTATCTCTAACTTAATGAACCTATTAGGATGCACTTATATAGTCCAAATCAAATGATAATCCTTTTGGGGTAATTCAAATCCATTTAAAATGTATAATTTAAAGTCACTCTGAAATATTGATGTTTTGAAAAGAAACTGAAGTAATAAAACAAGGTCATGGCGCTTTAAAATGTATACATAACTTACATTAGTTGGGGGGGGGGAAAGCTGTTGTTGGAATTTTAAGTTAAAGAAGTAAATTGTCAGAAGATCCAACTGAATAACACAAAGGAATTACTTATTTTTCCACTTGTGTGACGATCAAAGCTCTAACAGTGGGTTTGGGTGGGCCTCAGAAGATTATCACATTTCAGACTGTACGTCGGAGGGATTCGTTAAGCCTCAAGTCCTTTATATTAATGAAAAAGATGGCAACACTAATACAACAGCACACAAAGTCAAACACAATCACAGGCCCGTACTTTAGTAGCACTTAATATTCACTTAATATTCATAAAATAATGTTTTATTTTATTTGGGGTTTCAGACACATGGATAGAGGAGCCCAACAGCGGTCTGAGGCCTCTAAAGAAAAATTCAGAGATGAAATATCTCAGCTGTTCGCTCCGCCTCAACAACAACAACATCACTGAGCTTCATGACCTCCAGAAGACTGTTAGCCATTTCCTGGCTCAGCCGGCACATCTAACCTGGTTGGATCTTTCCTTCAACAAAATCACACACATAGACCACGTGAGTGTCGTTATCAGCAGCTGCTTGTCTTTCTTTTACATCTGAAGTACATCTGAAGCTGGTGTACACATGTGTGTTCCAGGTCTTGTGTGAGTTGCGTGAACTGCGTGTGTTGTACCTTCATGGAAACAGCATTTTTATTCTGTCAGAGGTGGACAGGCTGGGAGTGCTGCCACATCTGCACACCATCACTCTGCATGGAAATGTCATAGAAACCAACAAGGCATACAGGTGGAGATTTTCTCAACTGTATTTTACACTAAACACTCGTCACACATGTCCCAGGGAGCTTTAATGTGTTTTAAATTGGAGATATTTTATAGAAGCTGATGATAGTTTGCTGTTTACAGAACCAAGTCCAGACAATCAGAAGCTCAGACACCTCAGAGGTGTAGAATGAGGGATTGCTCTCATTCTGCAGATGTCTGTAAGTGTGACATGAGTGCACGGCAAGCATCTAAGTTCATAACATTGTAACAGGTGCTTAAATGCAGATAGGGTTCATATTACTTGTCCTAGTCTGCATAGCAACACCGGTTAAAAAAACACATACAGTGCAGTGACTGCAGGCTCATGTCCATCTGCAGACAGAGGCGCCTCTGTTTAAAACCGATTTCTAATGAGTGACAGCAGCTTCTTCATTCATTTAGAGCATGTTTGCAGTGCTGGTTACACAAGATAAAGTTTGGATGCGTTTGCAAAGACGAGGCCTTTTTAGTATTCAGTGTTATTTCTGTATAAATGTCTACAAAATGTGCCTGAGATATTTATTGGGCGTCTTTCTGTATGTAGGAATCGTGTGATTACCGTCCTGCCTCGGTTAAAGACGATGGACTTCAGTGCCATAACGCGACAGGAGCGAGTCTTGGCAAAGATCTGGCACCAGAGCAACAGCCGCTGCAGGAGCAGCAAGGTTGACCAGTGACTGCTGGCTCGTCTCCATCCATAAACTGATACTCTTTACCTATTTGTCAAGTGCACACTTTATTAAGCATGAAGCACACATAAAGGGATTAATCCAAACACTGAATAAAGAGGCGGACATTACTATTAAAAATCTAGCTGTATGATCTGGCATTGTATGGATGGTAAGCCAGTCCTTAAATACTAAGAGTATATGAGAAGGTGACTGAGAGCTGCAGAGAAAGCAGGAGGGTCACAGAGAGAAAAATAAAAAAGAAGAGGGAGAGGCTCTGGGAAACAATGACCCTTTGAGCATTAATATCAAGGGGTATGTCACAATCTCTCACCTTTTTCTCAAAAAAAAAAAAAAAGAGCTTATATGTGTTGCATTTTGTGTAGTAATCTCTTGTACTGAGCGATATGAGCTCAAAACAGGCCATAAAGTGACAAAATTCAGCCTACTTCTGCTTACTAGCACGGCCTATAACTCAGAACTAAGTTTAATAGTAATTTTGCATGGCTTTATTAAATATACTAAAGGCAGTATACAAAAAAAGCATAAAAAAGAGACACCTGACTTTTCTTTAAATCAGTTAACTCAAGCGTGGCTGATTGATGCGGCCACTGATAGTAACTGTTCTTCAGAATTAGTAGTGTTGTAGTACATTACTGTGTTCTTTATCCATAGATCACAAAATGTTGTCATTCACATCCAGATATCTGATCATTCATGTGGGTTTTGGAAATATTTTAATACTGTTTGCAACAAAGTTAAATTAAAGAAAGTGCTGTTGACCATCTCTGTAGCATCACTGAATAATTACATCTCACATAAGAGCACACTGGGGTCAGGACAGGAGCGATTTGTTAAAAGTCTTTAATGAATTAAACAAAACAAAAAACAAAACTAAAACTTTTTGGTACTAGCCTAAGACATTACAAACATATTTCAGGTAGTATTACACTTTTGAGTAACAAACATAAAGGGGAAAAAAATGCCAAGAACCCATTGCAAAAAGCTCAGATCAGTTGCGTGGTTTAAATAATCAAAGCCTAGCAGATTATCCCTTTTGTGTCTAGAGCGCTTCACCGTGCTCCCTGCCCACGCATACAGTCGTGCTCTCCTCCGAGGAGCAAATATATACTCGAGAAACAGAAATAAATAATCACAAAAAGGGATCAATTCGTTTTATTTGCTGCTATAGACTGATTGTTAACACCCTGCCCCCTGCTGCACTGCTATAACGGTTAGTTTCTGATTATGAACGAATCCAATCATATTGCAATCTGCAGGGGAAACCTCTTTGTTTAAAAGCTTAACAAATGCAGGCCTTAAAAGGGTTCTTGTGTTTCATAAAAACTTATCGCCACAAGATCTTAGCCAATTCTGACCAGTGAAGTCTCTACAAAAAGGAGGGACTTCATACAATCCATCATGTTTAGTTTTTATATTCAAGCAGAAAATTCTGTACAAAGGCATGAAGACACAATATCTGTCCCTACACACACTCGCACACACCCAACCACGCACTTTCATCTTTGAATATTACACTTGAACTTCTGGCCTGCTCGTTTATTTAATGCTAGATAAGCGCAGAGGACACAGCGCCACCTGTAAACTCCAGAATTGTGACCCAAGAAAAGCTGCATCCTCACCCACCAGCCAAGGAAAGGTTATTAAGGTTTGGCCTCGACTGGAATAACAGATTACTCCACTGTCACTGTCAAATGTCATTGAAATTCACTCTAACTAGGTTAGTGTGAGTTGTTTATGGTTGCCAGTATACTCCACTAAACGATAACATTTTAATTTTGGGAGAAAAAGCGTGTCATTCCTTTTTACTGGTGCTAATATTAACATTAACATTTTGTTGTTGCTCAGGGATAAAGACTGAAGAATTTCTGGTGACATCAAGGATGTAAAACAGAGCTAAACATATATGAAGAGTTAAGATTAAATCATGTTTGGGGGTTTTGTTTTGCTTTTTATTCCCCTGGTAAATAACATATTCAACATGTGGTGCAGTGATTATTTGCGATATTCCACGCCACAGTGATCCCTTTTTTTCAGTGGAGACTTTATCAAATGCATTGTATTAACCAACAGCCAACAGCTTTGTGTCAAAAATCCAACAGCTTTATCCCAGGTGAGTCCAACATAGGTATCAGCAAGGTGACAAGCTAGCTCTGATTCTCAGAAAACAAAGAAACTAAAAACACCCATGGAAAACTTTTTTTTTTTTTTAAGAGATCATCAAAAAGTTTGATTTCCACAGCTGGAGGCCTCGCTGATGTACATACGAGCTCAAACCCATCTTCCATTTGTCACTAAATTAATTACACTCGAGGACAGCCATGGGGTAAGACCCTACATTGTCTTCGTCTTTGAAGCAGTTTAAAGCAGAAAGCAGGAGGACCAAAATGTTTAATGACGGGTGGGGCTGGAGGTTGAGGATGCAGGAGTGACATGAAGAAAGTGGGACTGGAGCAACAATATGCAGGCCAGAGTTGCAGAATCAGGGAATGGCAAACTGGACCACCAAGTCTTCTTTAGCATCCACTTTGATTTGAGATATTGCACTGTAAGCATAGGCTGCTATCTTAGACACCTGCAAAGAAAAAAGAGAAGTCAAATTCTAACCGCTTAGCTGTCTTTAAAATGACACGACTGGGGATTCTGCGCAGGAATCACACAGCCCCATTCAATCAGAGTATGTTACATATGGATGGATACCTGCTGAACATCTGAGTATGGCACCAGGTCACTCGCAAGTACTTGGTGGGGCTGGCTGGTGAGGGAGGGGAGAGCGAGGGCTTTGTTTTGAGGCAGACTGGTGCTCAATACAGTCATCTTTGTACTGAAGAGAGAAAAACAAAGAAATCAGCTGTGCTGCTATTTAAGTTCTCTTAAACCAGTAGACTGTGCTTTGAGGAGCAAGTGTTTAACCTGCACCTGTGTTTTAGTGTAAACGAGGCTGCTCTGTTTGGTAGAAATCAAACAACATGCTGAAGAGCCATCCAAAATTATTATGAGCCAGTAAACAAAACCCATCAAGCCATAAACTGTCTATTTGCACACCTGTATTGTCGAGCTCTGTCCATGTACTCATGCGGCTCCACCATGATGGCGTCTGCTGCTGAGACGTCGATGATGTTCCTGATGTACAGGGGGATAACGGTATGTTTATTACACAGACACTCTTGCGTTATTGTCAGTGGCATGGCTACATTTGCATTAAGGAGGGTCTTACTGTGCCGTCTTTGTCAGGATGGATGAAAGGAGGGCCTGTTCATTTGACAGCGCTGATGAGCTAGTTCCAGGGTTCCAGCCGGTCCCGCCATTTAGTGGTTTGCTGGGAGGGTTCGGGGAGATGAGCGGCTTTGTCTCTTCCTTAAACAAATCAAGAAATTTAACTTACTTCTTTTTCCTTCTAAATCAAAGCTAATTATGACAGTTGAGACCACTTTAAAGTTATCATTTATTTTGTTTTATTTTATTTATTTTACTTCATTATTTTGTGTGTGTGTGTGTGTGTGTGTGTGTGTGTTAATATAATTACATTATAGTAATGCAACAACGCACAAAGTATCACTTCTGCAACTTGTGGTGCTCTTACAAATACTCCAAAAGTAATTTCTTCAGTCTAAAACAAATATATGAGCACAACACAGGCAGGCAGAGAAAGATAGATCTTCACTCTGTCCCCATTGCTCCTGTAAACTGGAAAGATGCATGGAGGAAGAAATGACTTATTTCTCTAAACTAAAAATAGCTGGGAATCTTTAGGGTCATATGACTACATGAAAGTAAAATCCCAAATGTCCCTCACCTTGCCGTTTGTCCTATCTAACACGTTAGCAACTTATTCTTTACTCTTCACCTCGCTTTAAAACCATTTATATAAGTAAATAACTTTTTTTTGTTTTAAAAAAAAAAAACCACATCAAAACACATCTCTTTGCCTCTGGATCTGTTAAAGCTTTCTGAAGTCAGACTGTTTATCATCTTGGCTAACTTAACTGGCTTGTACTTCACAAAAGGCCTAGCCAAAGGCTAGCTTACAGTAGCAAGCTGCTAGCCCCTAGAAAACGACCACTTGTTAACGTCGTCACGCATTACTCACGTGTACCGTCTGCGGGGAAATATGCCCAAAGGGATAATACACTATTAGGTACTGCACTTTTAAATTGCCCAGCTTTCACATATCGGGTTTAGCCTGCTAACAGCTAACTACCTGAGTTGTGTTCTCGTTCTCGCTGCTGTAACAGCAACCCATGGCAACGTCCGACGGCCGACACTACACAACCCCGGCGTCCCTTCTCTCCGTCAGAAACCAGTCGTGCTGTTCTTCTCTAGCAAACATAAAAGTTGTCTCCAGCGTGGTTGTATTATAACCTCATCTAAAGGTAAGGAGCTACTGTCAGAAGCAGCAGCAGCTTCTCGAGCGAGCTATCACATGACAGTAGCTCTAACGCAACAACACAAGAACCACTTCCGGTTTTTGAGAAGCGACGTCGGACCTCGTCACGTGAAGAGGAAGCTTTAAACGTGAACTGAATGAATGATAAATAAATAGATAATATCAATCCATCCATTCGCTTCCGCTTATCCTTTTCAGGGTCGCGAGGAAATGAATAATATATTAATACTAATATACGACATTTTTAGTATGTTGCTTTTTGATCATTATGTATTTTTTGTTTACGTACTGTTTTTTGTAACGGTGAAGCGCAATGAAGGTAGATGAGTTTAAATACCTGGGGTTAACCATCCAAATCAATGGACAGTGCACAAAAGAGTTTAGGGTTAGAGTGGAGCCGGGGTGAAGTGGGTGAAGACGAGCGTCCTGTGAGATTTGTGCCAGATGGTAATGAGACCTGATTTTAAGTAGAGAGCTGGAGGTGGCAGAGCTGCAGATGATATGATTTTTAAAATTGAAAGTGAAAAGGATTGGCAGGATTAGAAATGCGTATATCAGAAAGAAATCTCAGGTTTAACACTGGCTGAAATGCAGCCAAAAACCTTACAGAGTCGCCACCATATTTTATAAACAGTTTGT